TACAGTATGAGTTCAAGCTCAAGAACTGTTTCCACAAAAGCACTGTAGATGTGGTCATCAGAATTTCAGTTGGGTAAGTAAAAAATTTAACCAATCATATAAAACCATACCATCCCTTACAAAACTAACAAAAGTCACAATATTTTCTCTGTGGAACTTGCAGAGTTATTGTACAGGTGCTTTGCAGCTACGTTACTCTCCCACTTTACGCTCTTGTTACCCAGGTAAGTCACACACACACACATACAAAAATACATAACTAAGCAAAGAATTATTCTGAAATATTGGTGAAATTTGCATAGATGGGTTCGAAGATGAAACCTACAGTGTTCAACGAGAGAGTAGCAGTAGCTTTAAAGAGTTGGCATCACACAGCTAAGAAGCAGATGAAACATGGAAGAAGCTCAGAGTCAACGACGCCTTTCTCTAGCCGTCCAGCTACACCTACACACGGTTCTTCTCCTATCCATCTCCTCCGCAATGTCCACAAACGAAGCAGAAGCGCAGATGAAAGCTTCGCTAACTCTCTGTCTCCCCGAAACTCTGACTTTGATACTTGGGATGTTGAGTCTCAACACGAACCTTCTTCTTCAGTAAAGTATCATTCTAGGTTTAGGGAAGAAGACGTGGAGAAGAAGAAACCTTCTACTTTATCTGTGGAGCTTCCTCCTGGACCTGAACAAATTATAACTCACCAGCATGAGATTAGTAGTATAAGCTTGAGAGATTTTTCTTTTAAGCGATAATTTATTTTGTTAAATTGATTATTAGTCATGATGATTAATTAATATGTTTATAAGTTTATGTGGAAACAGTGTTCTTATGTACATTTCAGCTTATTTATATAAATATACAGTACTTCTTTCTTGTTTATCACTTTTCAGTTTGCTCTAAATGTAGATGTGTTGTGAGAAATTGTGGAAGATGTGCTAGCATATGTATACAGTCTGCGAGGTGTTCAATGAAATACATGACTGAGAAATTTCAGCTTTAAAGTCAGTCAATATGTGAAGAGTTTTTACCGATTTCTTCTCGCAGAAGTTATTGTTGTGAACAAAAGCGAATCAACTCCAAGAAAGCAAAAAGAGAACAAAAGGAATACTCATTTAGGATTTATATATTAATATTTCAATAAATAACTTTATAATTTTTTAATTCGTATTTATGACAGCCTCATAACCTGATTTTGTTTTCCCTATAAAAATACATATTTATCTAGAAAAAATAAATTTTGTAAATCAAAAAGGTATACCGTACCGCGGGAGCATGCGACCCCCGCACCTCTCAGATGTCAACCTTGACAGTGCCTACGACACTCGAATTTGGATTGGTACACACAGATTTAAGACACATCCAGACGCAACAATTCATCGCTCTCTCTATTTCACAGACCTTGTGCTCGCTCATCTCATGTGGTTATCATTGTTTACAGGTGCATGAAAATAGATCCCAACAGTCCCTGAGGTATGTTATACTTGGCTTACTTTCTCTTGTTAACATACTCGCTTCTTAACCCAATCCGAAGAAGATAGTTCTTGGAGACGAAAAACAATACAGGGAGAAGAATAGGATTGTCTTCTTTGCTCCTTTCTACCATCTTTTCAACTTGTAACTTTCCATGGACAACTGCAAAGAAGTCTATTTGTCAACAGGAAAAACTCCCAACCCCTCTAATAGAGTTTATAAACTGGGTTTCTTCAGTCTTTGAGATGAGTACATTTTAAGCATCACAGGTTAATGACTCCATAAAATTTTTTTAGATATGTTAACCGAGTTCCTTGGTTACTGAAAAATACCAACCATTCATCCTAAAAGTTGTTCTTTATAGCTACTGGGACACTGACATTGTTATTTCTTACAAAGTACGAATATGTTTACACAAGGTGTTACAACACGAAGAAGCTGGTGGTACCAAGAGAAAAGCAACAAAGATTGTAGGATACAAGAGAATGTGAGACCAACATAAAACACCATGGGATGATATGATGATCATCTCAGTGGAACTTGAGGCTGGTCAAGACATTGTTGTTGACAGGATCCGCCAAGTGATCAAGAAGGTTCTGGTAAGGCCCCACACCAGTCACTAGTCCCTGAATGAAATAGCCTAGGATGGCGAGCATTGCTAGTCTACCATTCTTGACCTCCTTGAGTTTCAACTCCTTCATCGACTTCTCATCTTTTCCAAACCCAAGAGGGTTAAAGAATGGTCCACCCGGGTAAGCCGGGTCGCCTGACCCGGCAAAACCTTTCTCTAAACCCAAGAAGTACTGTTTACCCATAGATCCTGGGTTGTACCAGTCCTGCAACCTCCTGTGCTCAGCAAATCCCATCAAAGCCATCTCGAGAACAAAGAGTGTGTAAGGGTCTGCCCAGTAGCTGTATGTCCCTGCAGGTGGAATCACACCGGTTTGGAACCAGGGAAGAGCAGTGTCTGCTGGAATCAGACCAGCCTTTCCTAGGATCTCAGGTGCAATAGCTCCAGCTGCACCTAACATAGCGAACCGTCCGTTGATGATCTCTCCGTAGGCTAACCATCTCGGCTCGATGAACCCTCCAGTACCTTCTGGATCTGAAAGACCAAGCGGGTCGAATCCAAAGTCGCCAGGTAAGCTGCAGAATCACAACAACTTCCCAGTTATGAAGCGTTTTCTATAAACTCCACACGTTTTGAGTATCATGAAAAGCTTAAAGAAATTAATTACCTTCCATCCAAGTAAGAGAGACTCTGAGATGATGCAAACCACAATTGTCTGTTTGCTCCTTGCTGAAACCAAAACACACACAAATCCATGATCAGATTATTCAGTTCACACAGATATATATAGAGAGAGATTTGTGGAAAAAAAAACTAGAGAGGATCATGTACCTTGACAGGTGGAGTTGAAGATGCCTTAACAGCCAAGGAAGTCTTCCTCTGTGATACGGACACAACTGGTTTTGTGCCGAAGATCTGTCTAGCGGTCTGAACAGAGGAGGTGAGTGAAGAAGACACAAGTGCTTGTGCTGCCATTTTCTGCGCTGTTCCTTAAACTCTTCTTTTCTGTCACCAAGAGACGATGATTGTTGAGTAATGGTCTGCAGGGAAGTGTTAAAGAGTACAAGGAACAAGGTCCCATTAGAACTACTTGTGGCTTTGAAATAGCCCAACTGGTTTTGGTCAGATTAGATAGTATCTGCTTCACCAACTATATCTGTCCACGTGGCAACTTGAGTTGGATAAGAGATTTTGTGTGTTTATTTCTTATCTGCCACACGAACAAAAAAATCTTTACACTGAATCCAACTGGATAGAAAATTTACTAATGTTTTATTGATTGGAAAATTTGAATGGATATGTACCTCTGTGGTTAAAAGAATTGGTTTTATTTTAGCATGAATCAGTGCTATTGAACTATCAAATCAATTCAAAATTTTTTTTTCTTAAAAGATTGATCTATTACTCAAGCTTGAGGTGGTCTGAGAATTCAGAGCGGAATAGAACAACCAACAAACATAAGTTCTCGATAGAAAGATCGAGCAGTTTTAGCTAAGGAATCAGAAACATCATTCTGTGTCCTAGGAACATAGAAAATTTTAAACTCGAGGAAGCAGATCCGTAGTGTCATGAGCTTTTCCAATTCCGTTGAGAAACTCGGCCAGTCATGAGGATTCGTCAGCATCGCTATCATCTCCTTGTAGTCCGTCCCAAAGCTCTGATATGGCGAATGTTGAAGCATATTCATCATTGTCCACCGCAGTGCTTCCAGCTCAGAGTGCAGAGCAGACTCCACTCTATCGAAATTGCGCAACCCCATCAACTGACTATTCCCCATACTGTCATTCCATACCCATCTACACCCACTAAACTGAGCTCTCGAGGTCCAAGAGCCATCTACCATACAAATATTTCTCAGGCTTATGGTCTGGCTTTCAACTTATGGATTTCGTTGAGATGGCGATATGACATGTTCATTGGCTTAGAACCAGGCTTGACACTCACTCTCCGCGTATCGGGCTAATTCCAAAGGGTCTCTATCGATTCCTCTAAACAGTTTATCGTTCCGAGCTTTTTAGATATACTATATTAGCCAGGGATAAGAATTCCTGTCCATTTCCGATTCCATTATGGCATTTTTCCTCTAGAACAAATAATTCATATTCGCATACGTGCTCTGTAATGGAAACAAGGTAGGATTGGTAGGTGTAGAGGATAAGGCCCAAACTTGCATTGCAGGTAGACACTGAAAAATCGTATGAGTTACTGATTCTTCTAGCTCCCCACATCTTAGACAATGATTATCACATCTCATATGCCTATAGTTCAAAGTACTTATGACAGTCACATGACTTGTTAGAATTTACCACATAAGATAACACATTTTCTGGGACGCATTAATCTTCCAAACATGTGTTTGGAGTCTTGTGATATAAGTGCAACATATAAATTGTTTCAAATTGCATTGGCCGTTTGCTTCAGCAAAATCGTAAAGTTCACAGTATAAAGACTCGTAGTATAGATTCCAATAAACCCTTCAGTTTTGTTTTTCTTTTTTTGTTACATTTTAATTGTCTTACGCAAGAGATGACGGATCCCAGTTGCATCTTTTAATTGTTTAGAGTATACAATGTTTTGTTAAAAAAAAAAAAAAAGAAGAGTATACAATGTTTGGGTTCAACGAGTTAAGAAAGACATGAAAATGACACAAATGTTTTGAATACGAGGTCAACCATTGCATGCTTTTATTTAAGTATAATTAAGATTGAAATTCAACAATTCAGTGCTTTTGGTCTAACTGGTAAACAATAGTATTATAATTTAACTGGTATTATAAAATAAGGTTTTAAGTTGATCGTAAATAAAGTAATACAGAATCCGGGAAGATCGGAACTTGGTCACATTGTTTAGAGAATTACTTCATCAAGTATTGAGTTTTTCTTTCTTGGCTTACTGTTCTCTTGAATACTTGTTTGTTTCTTACATCAATCTTAAGGAGATTGTTCTTGGAGACACAAGAACGCTCATGGGGATGACGAGGTTTGTTTGTTTCCTCGTGTTTGCCATGCTCATAAATTTTACATATGCAGCTATAACGCCAACAAGTCCTTTGTCAATAGGCCAAACTCTCAGCTCCTCTGATGGTGTTTATCAACTGGGATTCTTCAGTCCTAATAACACCCAGAACCAGTACGTTGGAATCTGGTTCAAGGGCATCACTCCTCGGGTGGTTGTGTGGGTGGCCAACAGAGAAAAGCCTGTTACAGACTCAACCGCAAATCTAGCTATCACCAGCAAGGGAAGTCTTCTCTTATTCAGCGGAAAAGATGGCACTGTCTGGTCCAGTGGAGAGACTTTAGCATCTAACGGGTCTCATGCAGAGCTTTCAAACAGTGGAAATCTTGTTGTCATAGACAAAGTTTCCGGAAGAACTCTATGGCAAAGCTTTGAGCATCTTGGTGACACTCTTCTACATTCCTCATCTCTTATGTATAACCTCATCACCGGTGAGAAGCGGGTTCTGACTTCTTGGAAAAGTTACACTGATCCATCACCTGGCGACTTTGTGGGTGAGATTACACCGCAAGTTCCATCACAAGGGTTTATTATGAGAGGCTCGAGGCCTTATTGGAGAAGTGGTCCATGGGCTAAAACAAGGTTCACTGGGGTACCTCTAATGGATGAATCATACACAAGTACACTAAGTCTTCACCAGGATGTAAACGGGTCAGGTTACTTGTCTTATTTTCAAAGAAACTACAAACTTTCACGTATAGTTTTAACACCAGAGGGATCAATGAAGATTTTTCGTCACAAGGGAACGAACTGGGAACTGTACTATGAGGCTCCGTTAGTCAATTCATGCGATGTTTACGGTGTTTGTGGACCTTTTGGGTTATGTGTTAGTTCAGCTCCTCCAAAATGTAAATGCTTCAAAGGTTTTTTACCTAAATCCATTGAAGAGTGGAAAAGAGGAAACTGGAGTAGTGGTTGTGTGAGGCGGACCAAGCTACCGTGTCAAGGTAACTCTATGTCTGAAGATGTAAATGTCTTCCATCCTGTTGCCAACATAAAGCCTCCAGACAGCTACGAATTTGAAAATTCTGTGAATGCTGAAGAATGCTACCAAAGTTGCTTCCAAAACTGTTCTTGCTTGGCGTTTTCTTATATTAGTGGAATTGGGTGCTTAGTATGGAACCAAGACTTAGTGGACGCGGTGCAGTTTTCTACAGGAGGAGAGCTTCTTTATATTCGTCTTGCACGTTCTGAGCTAGGTATGGCTTACAAGACAAAAAATAAAAGAACTTCTTTGTCTTTTGCAATTCATCTTTCTGATAGTTTGTTTGAATTGTTGCCTTATATTTCTCAGATGGAAATAAGCGCAAGAAGACCATTGTTGCTAGTACTGTGAGCCTTACCCTTTTTGTGATTTTGAGCATTGCGTCATTCGGTTTTTGGAGATGCAGAGTGGAACATAATGGTAACACATTCATGACTTCATCTATTCATTTTAATGTCAACAAAATAATCTAAATAGAATAAAAGGAATAGTTCCGTTACATATGATTATTAGTAGATGCTAAGCACTAACACACCGTTGCTTACTCAAATTTCAGCTTATAAATCGAAGGATGCATGTAGGAATGATTTGAAACCACAAGATGTCCCAGGTTTACATTTTTTTGAGATGAATACCATACAAACTGCCACCAATAATTTCAGTTTATCAAATAAACTTGGACAAGGTGGATTTGGTTCTGTGTACAAGGTCAGAAACTTTAAATCCTCTTGACCTTTTTAAAAAAAAAAAAAAAATTCTCGAGATTTCATTGTGTAAAATTCTGTTTTAGGGAAAGCTGCAAGATGGAAAAGAAATTGCTGTGAAGCGGCTTTCAAGCAGCTCGGGGCAGGGAAAAGAGGAGTTCATGAATGAAATAGTACTTATCTCAAAACTACAACACAAAAACTTAGTTAGGATTTTGGGATGTTGCATTGAAGGAGAAGAGAGGCTATTGATTTATGAATTCATGTCGAACAAAAGCCTTGATACTTTTCTCTTTGGTGGGTCTCATCTTGCATTATTCATTTCCTATTAGCAGCTTTCTTTTTGTGTACAATATTTTGTCTGATAGTTTTTACGCTGTATTATTGCTTTAGATTCAAGAAAAAGGGTTGAAATTGACTGGCCTAAGAGATTCAATATCATTCAAGGTATTGCACGTGGACTTCTCTACCTCCACCGTGACTCACGTCTCAAGGTCATTCACCGAGACCTGAAGGTAAGTAATATCCTTCTTGATGAGAAGATGAACCCAAAAATATCAGATTTTGGATTGGCTCGGATGTACCAGGGAACTGAATATCAAGACAACACTCACCGGGTTGTAGGAACTCTGTAAGAGTTTGTTTCTCTAAACATAACTACCTAGGATTTCTAGTTATAATCATAACCAATTTGATGTACGTGTAGAGGATATATGGCTCCTGAGTATGCATGGACCGGGGTATTTTCTGAAAAATCCGACATCTACAGCTATGGAGTTTTGTTGCTAGAAATCATTAGCGGAGAGAAGATCTCCCGATTCAGCTGTGGTGGAAAAACCCTTCTTGCATATGTAAGTGTTACAAAAGTTATTTGATTCTCATAGTATATAGATTCCACTTCTAATACTGAAACTACAACAGGCATGGGAATTTTGGTCTGAAAACAGAGGAACTAATCTTCTGGACCAAGTTGTTGCTGACTCATGTTGTCCGTCTGAGGTTGGAAGGTGTGTACAGATTGGTCTGCTTTGTGTTCAGCACCAACCCGTAGACAGGCCTAACACACTTGAGTTGCTGTACATACTCACCACAACATCAGATCTTCCAACACCGAAACAGCCCACATTTGTAGTGCACACGAGCGACTGTGAATCCCATTTTAGGGATTTGATAACAGTCAATGAGATGACACAATCTGTGATACTTGGGCGATAAGAAAAACAATGCTTGATGGAAATTGTTGAATACATATTCTTTGAGCATCCTGGTAATCCCTGTCTAAAGCTTTGATCACCATTCGTTAATGAGACGAAACAGTCTGTGTACCTTGGGCACAAGAAACGATGTGCGGTGGATATTTTGTTAGACTATTCTCTTTTAAGGATCCATTTTTCTATGTTGATATCCTTAATGTTTACTCTCTTATTAGTTTTGGGAACACTAAGAAACTATCGAATATACAACCGCAGCTATGTTTCAAAAAAAAAAAAAAAAAAAAAAAAACCC